GTTATTGTTATACCTTGTTATTGATTGTTATTGTTATCAACTGCTTGCGCAAAATGCCCAGTAGTACAGATACTGCCGATGAAGTTGTAAACTCCTGTAGTCCACCTAGGAAACGCTCTAAAAAAAGACACCTGAGTGCAGAAATGAAAGAGGTCATTTTGAACATATATAAGATCGAGCGCGAGGAGAACGAGGCATCAACCATCAAAGAAATTGTTGTGAAGGTTTCTCACAAAGTTGGGGTGTGTCGCGCATCAATGTTTAATGTGTTAAGACAATACAAAAAAAATCACACCTTTTCTGAGCCAATGACCAGTAAACATCGCAAAAGTATTGTTAAATCATAGGAAGAAGCTGATAAGCATGCGATTAGGAGGAAAGTGCATGAATTCTTCTTTAGGAATGAAATACCTACTATAGATAAAGTACTGCAGGAGGTAAATGGAGATACAGCGTTGCCAAATTTCAAACGATCAACTTTCCATGCGTTACTGAAGCATTTAAATTAAAACGGGGTCATAATAGTTTACTACTGGATAGAGAAGAAATTGTGCTATGGAGGAGGGATTATTTAACAAAAATTGGGAAATATAGAAATCAAAACAGGAAGATTTATTACCTTGATGAAACGTGGGTAAACGCAGGACACACTACAAGTAAAGTATGGGTTGATGATTCTGTAACTTCATCCAGGAGGGCCTTTCTAGATGGACTGTCCACCGGATTAAAAAATCCAGCAGGTAAATACGAGTAATAGACAACAATCGGATGTTTTTCAAACCTTGGGAACAAGGTTCTAAACATTAATTCCAGGGGGCAGATAAAACATATTACAAGTAACAAGTAAAATGCGTGGATGTTTTATTGTCATTTTCATTTGTTAGAACTTTTTTAAGCCATGTTTTTATGTGTTTTCGATATTTCAATAATTTTTTAATATAATCTTAAAATATGTCGAATACTATAAACTTAAAAAAAGTTACTAAGTTTTATATTGTGTACCGTTCCTAATATTTATAATCATTTTAATTCATACTTTAAGCTTTATAAAGTTATAATTTGTTAATATTAATATTTGCGCGTATTTCAGGTTCCTGATCATTCATTTTTTAAAGGTTTATAACTTTAAATTAAATTGTGAAGCGCTGAGTAATCATACGACTTTCAATATTCTTTCTTTCAATATGACTAAATAATCCCAATTATAGCAATCTGATACTCATGTCTCAATGTTTTTTCGCTGAATGTGATGAAAACATTTGAAAAAGGTTCGCTTATTGAAATAAATCTACACCAGTTAGTACTTCGATTTCCAGGTAAAGGGAAAAGGCTCATTATCTGCCATATTGGCAGTGAGGATGGATTTGTTGTTGACGGTCTGTGGTGCTTTGAGTCTAAGAAAACTGGAGATTACCACGAGGAAATGAATGGCGAATCGTTTGAACAGTGGTTTTCAAAAATTTTACCGAACTTAGAGGAAAACGCAGTAATTGTGTTTACATTCTCGAAGAATGGAGAAGGTCCCAACAACGGCTTCAAGGAAAGTTGATGTTCAAAATTGGCTCCGCTCGAAAAATATCAACTTTGAAGAAGCAATGCTGAAAGTACAATTATTAAGAATTGTCAAGGATCACAAGGCGGAATATCAAAAATACGCCATTGACGAAATGGCAGCAAGTCAAAATAAAACTGTGCTCCGTTTACCTCCATACCATTGCGAGCTCAATCCCATTGAGCTCATATGGGCAGAGGTTAAAAATTATATAGCTAAGCACAATACAACTTTTAAATTTTGTGACCTCAAAGGACTTTTCAAAGAAGCACTAGAATTAATAACAGCGCAAAAATGGGAAAACTGTATTAAGCACGTGAAAGACAAAGTTGAAAAGAGAATGTGGGAACTGGACAATATTTTAGAGGAACAAGTCGAGCCATTCATTATTGACGTTGGTGCTTCAGGCAGTAGCGATGATGAAAGCTCATCAAGCTCATCTTTCCAATAAAAGTTGTCGTTCATCAAATTCGGTAAGTTATAAGTAATTATAAAGTTACTGTATTTTTTAATTAATTATTGACATTTTTGAACCCATTTTGGCAAAACCTATTCAAGAATCTACTTTCTGACAATGTTCAACCATGCACATTTTTTTACGTTTTGAACGTTTTAATTTGGTTACATATTTACCTAGAAATCAAAAAATAATCTAATCAATATTCTAAAAGCAATTTTAAGAGATATACGATTATTTTTAATTTAGGCTAATTTAAACGCCATTTTGAGATTATATTCGACTGTATTTCACCAAACATCAGGCGGCATCCGAAGCTGGAAATCGAAGCGAAAATTTTGAAACCCTTATGTATATTTACATCATTATATATTTCTTACCCCACCCCCACATGATCCTATATCCATCACCAATCGTATACACATCGAATTGTGCTAATTTACTACAAAGTTACGCAAAGCAGCATCTACTATCTAAAATATGTACTGCGTGACTCTTAATACGTCCCTGCCGAATGTTACAGCGTTCGATGATCACGTGGTCTTGTTTATGTCCGGTCTATCTCTTATCTGAATATACTGTAGCGCGCTAAGAATTGCCAGAAATCTCGTAAAACGCAGAATTTTTAATTTTCAGGACGCAATGAAAACTGTGACCAAACTTTTTGAGACATGATATGGTATTTGAGTTTTGGATGATTGAAATTTTGAATCGTATTCACAGTTTATGCATACCAACAACAAAAGCAGAAAAAGTTACATAAACAAAAAATCTCATTTCGGAAATTGCCCGTTATTAGAATACCTACTTTTTCGGTTTAAGGTATTTTTCCATCGAAATAAATTAGCGCCCTAAAACGTGCAAAACGCGCCGAGAATTGAAATCCTCCAAACATTTTTGGTACCGCTGCTAGAGGGACCACCAGTACGCATATGCGCACACCATGCTGATTGTGAATAGATAAGGCGAACCGCACTACCCGCAAAGCTTCTGTTTACCTCTCTCATTATGGGACTATTTGTATACATTTAGCCATTGTACCCTGGCCTTAAATATCTTTAAGCTGCTCTTTTACAGCCCTATCGTAAACCACGTTTATATAAGGGCTATTTTTCTGAGTTTTCCGTCCCCGAAACTCGCCTACCTCGACGACAATGCTTTTAATGTATTTTTTCTTTAGAATCCTCTATATGGAATGCTCCTTGCATAAAAGTGATGGATTGGTATATTCAAAGATGCGGTATTTAGCTGCTTATTGTGCTATTTACATCGTATTCATCGTATTAAGTGACTGGCCATTGATGTCATATTTTGGGTCATGTCTATTTGGACTCCAAATATTTCTTAGAACGTCTGGCTTATTTCAGCGATTTAGAGCCAATTGCAATCAGGTCCTTTTCACGTATATATCTGGCAAGTATTGTTTGTACAGAAATATAAGCATTTGGCATAATTTTATTTACCTCCCTCGCCACTGCGCGAAAAATCCTTGGACCGCCTATAACTTGAAAAGTACTGTTCGTATTTGGATTAAATTATCTCACAAGGCACATCAACGACGAAGAAGCTTTGTAGGTCAAGGGCAAAAGCAAACTTCGTTTTTTGATGGCTCCTCATCATATTCAGAAACGTTTTTGCTGAACTTCGAGTATCTAGAAAAGTAATCTTCCTATAGTTAGCATCGTTTGATCGAACAAGGAACAACTCACTGCTGAAACTTCCTCATATTATTCAAGGGCAGTATTGAGAACATTGAAACAGTATTATTTTGATAGTAAAAGTCTCGACCACGTTGCAGGTTACATTTCATATCCGTCATATCTAAGCTGATGCACACATTTTGCGTTCAAAAACTATTAATCTACATACAGCTGAGGAGTTAAACGGAATAATACTTGTTATAGTCAATAAATGAGCAAACTAGCTGTATGTCAGTGAGAGTCTGATGTCATTTTTTGATGGTTTCACTTATTATTTTAAACACAGAATTAGCATTTCTCAGAGTAAAAGACTAGCTATTTTCACAGGTTTTTACGTAGTCGCGTACAGAAAACAGTATAGCATCAAGTTGAACGAACTCTTATAAAAAACTGCTTTCAAAAAATTCTTCCATAGATACCTGCGTGTTGTTGAATTAATCTTGAATACAAAAACATAGTCATGTACCATTCACATTTTTCGTACAAACATTGAGGTAATATACTAAGTGACATATAAATCCGAACACCCAGTTTAAATGGTTTTATTTTAATAAAATTTTGTATAAGTAACTTTTATTAAAATAAAATCATTTAAACTGGGTGTTCGGATTTATATGTCACTTAGTATATTAATACAATCTATGACAAAACGTTGGGAAATGGATATTTCCTAAGTCATAATAACTTTAAAAAAGTGCGAAATACTTTTGTAAGCAAAGCTACTTCATATACATAGTTAGGCATCTAAAAATCAATGATGATACTGGCGTAAAATTCCTTACGTTGTAGTTGTTAGTGTCTATCTCCATCCATACGTGAAGCAAAACTTTACATTAATTTGTAACCGTTACAGAAACAAAACACGACCTGCTCGCGGCACCTTTTTAGATTTGATAAAAATTCAGAAAATACCTTGTTGCCTAGCATGAGTTTATTATGTATTTATGTATGCAAAATCATCCCCTGTAGGTGTGAAATTTTTTCATGCATCCGAAAGGTGATCTATTTGTTTTCAGAAGGGATTTGTATATTTTCGTATTATTTATATACACATAGGCGTACTAAAAAAAAGGTCAAACACAGTGTTATTAATTTAATTCATTAGAATCATCAACGAGCCCCTTCCCACTTCAGTTGGCCCACTTCAAGATTTGTACCAAAATATGCGTTTATAAACTGAACATGACGAAACTATTTACTTCTAAAACAATTTATTTTCTCAAAAACATTTTAGATACACTCTAGTCGTAAAAAATACATATTTGATATTGAGATGTAGAAGCGAGCGCCGCTCAAGGTCGTTCACTCCTACAACGTCACACCCACTCCAGGTCGAGAGTGCTCGAGGTCATATATGCTCAAGGTCACACTTCAAGGTCACTCGGAAACTCAAGGTCACATTTCAAGGTCACTAGAAAACTCAAGATCACACTTCAAGGTCACACGGAAGCTCAAGGTCACGTTTCAAGATCACATTTCAAGGTTGGCACCGAAGGTCAGCTCTCAAGGTCGTTCGGCACCGAAGGTCGGCGCTCAAGGGCGTCCCAGAACATAAAAACCCTATCTACTCATGAGTATCACCACATGACTGGATGTAGACAGGAGCGCCGGTCAAGGTCGTTCACTCCTACAAGGTCACACCCACTCCAGGTCGAGAGTGCTCGAGGTCATATATGCTCAAGGTCACACTTCAAGGTCACTCGGAAACGCAAGGTCACATTTCAAGGTCACTCGAAAACTCAAGGTCACACTTCAAGGTCACTCGGAAACTCAAGGTCACGTTTCAAGATCACATTTCAAGGTTGGCACCGAAGGTCAGCTCTCAAGGTCGTTCGGCACCGAAGGTCGGCGCTCAAGGGCGTCCCAGAACATAAAAACCCTATCTACTCATGAGTATCACCACATGACTAGATGTAGACAGGAGCGCCGCTCAAGGTCGTTCACTCCAACAGAGGTCCCACCCACTTCAGGTCGAGAGTGTTCGAGGTCATATGTGCTCAAGGTCACACTTCAAGGTCACTCGGAAACTCAAGGTCACAATTCAAGGTCAATAGAAAACTCAAGGTCACACTTCAAGGTCACTCGGAAGCTCAAGGTCACGTTTCAAGATCGCATTTCAAGGTTGGCACCGAAGGTCAGCTCTCAAGGTCGTTCGGCACCGAAGGTCGTCGCTCAAGGGCGTCCCAGAACATACAAACCCTGTCTACTCATGAGTATCACCACGTGACTGGATGAGTTTACTCGACAGATGTGTGAGTGTACAAGCAATCTTTCATCGAGCAGGTACGCCCTTGGTAAGGACAGAAGAAGGTCCCTTGTCCAAGCGTACCAACACCGCATAAAATTAAAATTTCCTACCTTGCTGTATTTACCGATGATCTTAATACGCACCGTAGGACCTAAATCAACTTCGATACGCCATAATGTCCCATAAATCAAAGCGGCCGGCGAACGCTAACGTGGAGCTTTCCGAGATTTATTGGGAGGATTTTGCATAAAATTCCCATTTTCCACCAGTCAAATCATACGTTAAAGGGTGGCGGGTTAGATTCTGATACATCCCCGCTGATGGAGAGATTTATATTGTACGAAAAGTTAAACGGTTTCGCGTGAAAAGGTTTGGACTATAGTTGACAAATTGCTACCGATCGGATGAGATACTCGTAGAATCCTGTGTTTATGCGTCAATGGGGTTATCTCTTCCTGAACTAATTTATGTCTGTCTAATGATCTTTTCTTTACGTACCTGGTAGCTCATAAATCTTTTAGTTTTAAATTATTCTCAAGATGTCTCCACATATGATGGGTGACCTTCTACAACGCACAAATCCAAAGAAGCTGATTTGTGATAAGCTGTGACTGAAGAAAAAACACGTATAGTCTTCAGATAATGTTGTAATGAAGGACCATAGCTTCTCTTGCAAGCTGAATAGTGTTTGCAGCATCTTTCATGGTGCTTTCAGAGTAGTTATTGCTAATATTGTTTATAAGAAGATCCTAGGGTTACACGTCGAATGTTCAAACTATAACTATAACTATACTAAGTGACATATAAATCCGAACACCCAGTTTAAATAGTTTTATTTTAATAAAATTTTGTATAAGTACTTATTGAAGCATAATAAGTAAATGATAAAAATTTCAAAATGATTGTACCGCTTTAAAGCCCTTTGACCTTTAATAATGTGTGGATGCACCCTGATGTGCTACGCATTCTCCAACGCGCCTTGGCATGCTTCTGATCAGGTGGTCAATGTCCTCCTGTGGTATCTCATTTCAGGCAACCACCAACTCCTCTCGAAGTGCTTCTAGAGTCTGAGGAGGACGTTGCAAATTGAGCAATCTCATACCCATCATATCCCACACGTGCTCAATTGGGGATAAGTCGGGAGATCTTGGTGGCCATGGTAACAATGTGACATCATTATGTTGAAAGAAGTCTATTGCGACTCTTGCAACATGTGGTCGGGCATTATCTTGTCGGAAAGTTGGATCTGCCAGGGTGTCAAGATAGGGTAAAAGATGGGGTTCTAGAACTTCGTGGATATAACGCTGCGCGTTCATGTTACCTCTGATGAAGATTAAAGGTGACCTGGAACCATAAGCTATAGCACCCCAAACCATAACTCCAACACTGTGATGAACATGTCTTTCAACAAAAAACTGTGGATTCCTCCTTTCACCACGTCGCCTTCTAACCCTGGCACGAGCATCGTGCATGCCTTAACAAAATCGAGACTCGTCACTAAAGACAATACTGTTCCATTCCTGATCCCAGAGTGACCGTTGTCTACACCACTCAAGGCGATTACGTCGGTGTTCTCGAGTTAAAGGGAGGACCCAGTGTGGCCGGTATGAAAACAAGCCAAAACTTCTCATTCGTCGGTAAACACTTCGCATGCCAATAGGTCTTCCGTGTTCTGCAAACCATTCGTTTGCAATGGACCTGGTAGTGGAGAAACGGTCCCTTAAGGCCAATAATCTTAGGCGGCGATCTTCACGGTCTGTTGTTCTACGGCGGCGTCCAGTGCCCCTTGCTCTTTGCGTACGGCCTTCTCGAAGCCATGCCTGACAACACCTTACCACAGTGTCTACACTTCTTTGCACTCTAACTGCAATTGCCCGAAAAGAAAGTCCAGCTTCCCGAAGTCCCACTATACGGCCCCTATCAAACTCACTAAGTTGACGAAATCGTACAGGTCTCCGTACTGTAGGCATCGTAACCGATCGTAAACGATGTCAAGAACCAAAATCCGCCAACGTTGATTCTTTACTGCGGCTGAAATATTCATTTTTAGAGCGTTAGTGAATTAAAAAAAAGCAGTATAAAAACCGGAATGTCCAACTGATAAGGCTGAACATTTTTTCACTTGTTATTTACAGTAAGATAAATACATTCATCAACTTTTATTAAAATAAAACCATTTAAACTGGGTGTTCGGATTTATATGTCACTTAGTATATAATCCGCACCTCAACATCGGAAATAGATTCTAAAAGACAACTTTCTGCTGTACTACCACCAGAAAACAAGATCTAGAAGAGCAATAAAAATTTTTATAGTGTCGTTCTACGCCTTTTACCACCAGAGAAAGGGATGAAAGCACAGATTTAGGTGATATATCGATGAACCTACACATAAAACTTGGTGGTCGTAAAATTTTAAGGCATTTAGTGGGTACATGTGTTATGTTTTTGGCCTCATGGTAGCATTGGCCATCTTGATGATGGGAAGATTTGTGTGAGACAATAAAAGTCTCGTAAGCCTTGACTTTTTTCGTTTGTAGGTATTCGAAAGAAAGCTACTTAGTTATCAGATGAGTGACAACGATATATTTGGGAAGAAGGGACTTTTATCCTGCGTTAGGTAGCACTTTTATTGCCTTGTAATGAACAGATGATAAATAACCACACTCTTTTGTTGAACAGACCGGTCAAAAGAGTTCACACGAATTCTATATGGTTTTAAAACGAGCTTATACGTAATCTCGATATTAAAAAACGTTGATAAGGTTTGAAGATCGACTTGTGAATTGAGATGAAACCAGAGGTACAACTCTCTAACTTTTCTTCTGATTCAGAAGGCTTCTGTGGCCAAAACTTGAGCTGAAGCACTAATTAAGATTTCAAGTTGCTAAAATTGCCACAACGAGCTGATAAGCTTTATTTATATAAAACGTACTTTTTATTAGTAAGAAAGAATATTGGTGTTTTATTTCAGTATCATATTTTAAATAAAGCAGGGCTTTTATGAGAGCAGAAAATCGAATTTGTATCGCTTTTGCGTATACTTTCAAAATTTTCCGTGCCGAAACGCGATAAACAAAACAGTATGCCACAATTTATTGAACATCGTTAGTACAGTCGATGTAAGAAAATATAATATACCGAATTCGATTCTTACACCGACAGGTACTGAATCTAATGTAAAATCATGTTAGTTTCAACTTAAGCATTTTGTGTCCTTTGGAACGTTCAAATCTTACATACAGGGCCAATATTTAACTGACTGATTTATATTGTGTAGTGAAGCGTCCTGAGACGTCTACCAGACATCGTTCTAAAGAACTATGTATTCGTCGCAAGTCATTACGCACAGTTAACCCAATAACTACAGCCTAGTGAGCCTGAAAGTCATGAAATATTGCACCACTTCCTCGTCGACTCACAGTTTGGTGTGGTGTTTGTTATGGAGGCGTCATGGACCTCATTTTTTTGAAGATGCTGAAGGTAATTGAAATGTTGAAAAAAGTCATGAAATAACCGTTGCCTTATAAATAAGGGTACAATATAGATATAATATTATGTCTTTGTGCTTCAGAATTAGGATAACTTTCATAGAATTTCAAGTTTTTATCATTTGACAAAAGACGGTCAGTTATTTAAATGGACCAATGAAAATGAGAGAAATAATAGGTAGATTTTCTAACTATTATATTTAGTAGGATGTTTTCACTGTATTTGACGACTGTTCATGCATGGCAATCTAGTTTTGTCTGTATATCACGTACAGGGTCTTATACATAATACGTATACGTACCTGTAGAAATGTACCGACTTCTATTATGTTGCAAAAAAAAAGGATATAAAACGTATTCCAACTGGTTCATCATCTTTTCTTACAGCAAAAACAATTTTTGTCAATTTATGATCTAGAAATGTGACCTTGAAGTGTGACCTTGAAACGTGACCTTGAGTTTCCGAGTGACCTTGAAGTGTGATCTTGATTTTTCGAGTGACCTTGAAGTGCGACCTTGAGTTTCCGAGTGACCTTGAACATATATGACCTCGAGCACTCTCGACCTGGAGTGGGTGTGACCTTGTCGGAGTGAACGACCTTGAGATGTAGAAGGGAGCGCCGCTCAAGGTCGTCCACTCCTACAAGGTCACACCCACTCCAGGTCGAGAGTGCTCGAGGTCATATATGCTCAAGGTATTTCACTGTATTTGACGACTGTTCATGCATCGAAATCTAGTTTTGTCTGTATATCACGTACGGGGTCTTGAACATAATACGTACCTGTAGAAATGTACCCACTTCTATTATATTGCAAAAAAAAGATATATAAAACGTATTCCAACTGATTCATCATCTTCTGTTACGGCAAAAACAATTTTTGTCAATTTATGATCTAGAAATGTAACCTTGAGTTTCCGAGTGACCTTGAAGTGTGACCTTGAGTTTCCGAGTGACCTTGAAGTGTGATCTTGAGTTTCCGAGTGACCTTGAAGTGTGACCTTGAACATATATGACCTCGAGCACTTTCGACCTGGAGTGGGTGTGACCTTGTTAGAGTGAACGACCTTGAGATGTAGAAGGGAGCGCGTTTTCAACTTTTCATAGCTATTGGTTGCTAAAATTTGGAACTTGAAGCTCACTCGCTGTATTTAACGGACTGTTACCCAATAGGTGGAGAATAACGGACTGTTGATTTGATAATCCTGATGAAATCCACCCTTAACATGATAAAAGACGGCGAATAAAATTATCGTTTGACAAATTCCATTTTAGGAAAAAGCCAAATTTTATAAATATGTGCCATTTTCTTAGTTA